TTTCCTTTTCCTCCATGTGCCTAGTTCTATTCCTCAAGCATGAAGAAAAGTAAGACTAATCATTCTTTTCTTGGCATTAAGGCCACTTGGGGCTTTTATTTGTAGTCACCTGGCCAAGTCGTAAATACCATTCAACACCTATGCATACTGTTTCTTTAGTTAGAATAATAAATTGATTTCACTTAATAAAATAGAAAGCCAGGTGAGGTCATCTTGTGTAGAGTGGAGAATACATGTTAGACAGGTATGTAGGAGAAAAACAAGGTACCAGGAAGGCCATTCCTCTAACCTTAAAGTCTAAGAAGCCCAAGTCACAAATATTTATTTGTTTGTCTTTGGCTTCCCCTGTATACCCATAGCATATGAGATTGGCTTTGCTGTTTTTGTTTTGTTTTGTTTTTTCTCTCTCCCACGCTCCTCTCTGCCCTGTGAGCTGTTTTCTCTCGGAGTTTCTCCATATCTTTAAAGGCCCAAGTATTTTTGCCTTAGTTACCAGTTTCCTACTGCTGCTTGGTAACAGAGGACCTGACACAGTGGCCCTGAATGGACAGTCACTGAATCCTTTGGGAATCTGAACAAGGAAATCTTTGATGTCAGGAGAAACAATGCAAGCCAAGGGTCAGGAAGTTAGGTATGAGGTGAAGACTTGTTGATGGTGGTGGTGACAATTCTGAGAGCTTGGGATGCTTAACGTGTATGTGTTCAGCATTCATTTGGAATTCTTTTTTTTTTTTTTTTTTTTTTTTTTTTGGTTTTTCGAGACAGGGTTTCTCTGTGTAGCTTTGCGCCTTTCTTGGAACTCACTTGGTAGTCCAGGCTGGCCTCGAACTCACAGAGATCCGCCTGGCTCTGCCTCCCGAGTGCTGGGATTAAAGGCGTGCGCCACCACCGCCCGGCTCATTTGGAATTCTTAAAGATGCAACACCATTTAGTTTTCATACTGGCCATCATGATATCCCTACTAGGCTAACCTGACTTCTTTTTTTTTTTTTTTGGTTTTTCGAGACAGGGTTTCTCTGTGTAGCTTTGTGCCTTTCCTGGAACTCACTTGGTAGTCCAGGCTGGCCTCGAACTCACAGAGATCCGCCTGGCTCTGCCTCCCGAGTGCTGGGATTAAAGGCGTGCGCCACCACCGCCCGGCTAACCTGACTTCTTAAAAGACATCCACAGCCAGGCAGCTATCTATCACATCTTTTTTTTTTTTCCTACTTAGATTAAAATATGTTCTTTTTCAATGCCCAAAAGAATGCCTCTTTTACTCCTTCAAGAATGGTCTTTCAGGGCTGGAGATATGGCTAAATGGCTTGAAAAACGTGTGGCCAGACCTGATGACCTGAATTCAGTGCCTGGAACTCACACGGAGGAAGGCGAAAACTGACTCGTAGAAGTTGTTCTTTGATGCTCACATGTGTGTTGGGACATATGGCACCCCCCACAATGGTTTGGAAGAAAAGGAATAGATCTTCAATTTTCACCTATTAAATGAAGAAATTTTAGCAGTTGCTACTAAGTTTTCTTCCTATTTTAATGTACTCAAAAATATAAGATGAAATATATCTAAAAAAATGACACCTTAAGTTTTTTTCTTGTTGAATAAAATCTTGCAAGAACAAAGGAATGCTCTCCACCTGAACATCTAGGAGCTGTGAAACTGCAAGCCTGCAATTTGGAGCAATCTGAGCCTTAGTGTGTGTTTTACAGTTTCCTAAAGCTGAAGTTAGTCTTGGCCTGTTTCAAGCAGCTAACTGGAACTTCTAATAATTTACTAGTAAATTTCTATGAACTAGAAACTATGCCAAGTGTCAAGAATATGCCCCAATAGACTATTGCTACCCACACTATACCTAGGAGGAATCAATCCTACTTGCCCAAGTCCACATGTCTAGTCTATGGGAAAGCTGGAATTTAAACTTAGATATGTTTAATTTTTAAGCTTTCAGGTAGTGTACTTCATCTGCATTCTATTTTTAGCTTGCCTGGATCTGGACATTGAATATAACTTGCATCAATGACTTTTCTCACTAAAGCATCTGCTTAGTTTGCTCACTAGCACAGTCCCCATTGCAGCATGTGTGGTGACATCTGAGAGATGCCTCATGATGCATACCTTACACTGATATTAGATACTCTGGGTCACTTGCAGTCACATGTCTGTGGGTAACTCTGATTTTCCTTCTCTCTATATATTTCAAATCACATAGAATAATAAACCTCAAATGAAAGCAGACAACCCACACCAGAGAAGACATCTACAAACTCCAACTTGAGAAAAAACTCCACAAAGAAAACATCAATCCTGTGTAGGTGATTGGCACAACAGAAATCCTGCCTCTCTGAATGTGCGCCTGCAGTCTGTTCTGTACTTATTAGAAGGGATTATTGACACTTTCAGAAAATACAATCTCAGGGACACCGACAGCAAATTAACTTTGGTATTAAGAGAAATTGAAGTTAGTTGTTGCTCAGTGCACTAGGACAGCCTAATTTTCATTTTAACTCTGAGTTATTTTGCACACTCTTCTTAATCTATGCAAGATCTATGTAAGAAACACAAATTCACGCATATTTCTATTCAATTTTTACCTCACAAAAGAATTGTCCTCCAAATCAAACAGCACAGGGAGTACAGAATTTTTTGTAAAAGACCTTTCAAATCTTACAACTATTTTGGGTATAGGAAGGGTACTTTGGAGCTATAATCTTTTATCAAATGAGTACAAGTTTATTTTAACCATTGGAGCATTTTTAAAAATAATACTAATGGGGTAGCCCTCTTCTTTCTTAACCAAATTCTTCCCAATTAAATCCAACTGTACTATTCATTTAGAAATTTGATAATGCTCTCTTGTACGAGTTCTAGAAATATTTGAAAGCCCATTGCATATAAATTATATCATGGAAAAGCTGTATAAATATTCTATTATGGCACATGCTGTTCTGAGGATCTGTCAGGATTTCCTTTATACACTCCATCTTGAGTGGTATATAAATCAGATGTAAAAATTCATGTTGGACTGAAACAGCACAGAAAGCCTCCTCCAGAGGCAAATGCTTTCTTCAAAATGTGGTTTGAATTATGTTGGTCATTTTTAAGTTATAGAAGTACAGAAAATGTATTTGTGGTTTTGAAGGAAAGAGGTTTTTCCATTTTCATAACTCATTAGGAAACTTTACAGGCCTTCAGACCATTTTGTGGTTTAGTTTTTCTCAGCTTTTTTTTTTCTCCAAAGCAATATTAAAAGCTGAGTGCTGTCTGCTATGAACTGATGATTACTGTTCTTAATACAAAGGTGTACGTGGATATATACATACAGCTAGATGTTCCCAATGATATTGTGGCTAGAGTGCATGATTGGGCCTAGGCCTATCAGCTGCCCACTGTTTACTCTGGTTATCAAGTGAAATATGGCCTATCACCGGAAGACCTTCTGAACTCAGATCAGAATGTACTGCTTGACATTGTGAAGCTGCGTTTTTAACTCACAGAAAAACCTACTGAGTTAAATATTGCTTCTTTGGCCAAATGTTTTTACCTTTCTTAAATCCCGTTAGCTCTAACAGACACAGCAAGTGGCTGGCTGAATGTTTAAAAAGCATTCAATAAAGTATTAAAAATGCATATGTTTTTGTGCAAAGGTTCGTTTGAATTCATTAAATTTTTTTTGTGTAGATAATGTTACTAAATATTATCACAAACACTTCAGTTTTTATTTTAGCACATATAGAAGTTATGATTATATTATCTCTTTTAACAATATAAGTATAAAACTATGAAACTTTCATTTGGAGTGAGAAAGTCGCCATAGCTCACATAGTAGGTTAAGTTTCTTTCAAGTGACTTGAACATAAAATTAAAACAGTATTATCTCATATATTTGAATTGCATTACCCTATATGAGCTTAATTCACTAATCCACTAGATCAACAAATTGAGTAATTACTACTTAATGCTTTATCCATTAAAACACAAAGTTATTAATGTCTTCTCAAAGTAACTTGTAAAAAGTTTCTATTTAGTACTTGGATTCTGAGTGTTTTCATTCTTTATCCAGTTCCCATTTCATCATGCTAAATTATTTCTGGTGAAGTTACTGAATTATTTGTTTAGGGATAGTGGGGATGAATCACTCAGAGAATAACCAAACAATGCCTGTTGCTATAAGAGCAATGGGGACTTTTCCTTTGGGATGCAATGAGGAGTAGACAGTGGTCTACCTGCTCCTGAATGTTTTATCTGCTAACCTAGTGTCACAGAAATTAGCCAGCTCTGTACTACAGAGCATGCTGAAGGCTACTTCTATTTTTCAACATTAACAGACATGCAAGGTTACTAATGAGGGGTCATATCCCCAAACTCTAATCTGTAGAGCTGAATATTCTTATTTCTATCTGGGTCATTTTTTTTATTCTGCTCCACTTACTTTTACTAAATTACACTAATTTGTGTTTCATAATGGTATACTTGTTATAATTATAAAATGGTATGTACGATTTATACATCACTACAATTATCTTTTTGTTAGTTCATTATTAAATTCATTTCTCTTATGATTTAATCTAGTATACGTTGCTCCAAACATCTTTATATAACCCCCTCAGTCATTAAGTTCACCATTGCAGCTTTGGAGGAAAAAAATTTACACATTTTCTGAGCACCAGGTACATACTGAAATACAATTTTACGTTAGTTAAATATACTTCAAAGTGAAGTATGGGGATTTAAGAATCATTGAAAATAAATATTCTCTAAATAAAATAATTTCATAAATGAATCTTCCATAATTCAAGCAAATAGTACATTCATCAACCAACACTGTATTACACACTCATTTTCCTTAATTTAGAACACTAGAGTGATATTACTTAAACAGCATTGACCTGCTAATTCTAACACCATTATTTTTCTGAGCAACCAGCAGATATTTAGGTTTGTTATTTCTTATAGCCTGCAAAATAATAACATTTTAGAAATTTTCAAGTATGTAAAAACATCTCCTCACCTTGATTTTACCTTTAAGCAGCCTTTTATTTGTCTGCTAGGAGCTTCTTCCACTGGTTTTACAGGCTCTGGATCTTTCTTTTTCTTTTGACAAACCAATACGTAATTGGTGCCATTATTATTTGACCAAAATGTACCAACAGAAGTTTCATAACGTATACAAAACTCAACTTTACTGCCATCTTTTTGATAAGGAGGAATCAATGAAATCTTAAAAGAGAACTGGTCAGTTTCACCGTCACATGAATTAGGAACATATTCTGCTAAAATGTCATAATGTGTCTGCCAGCCATCCAAGGACATGCGCACATACACTAACTTCTCAAAAGAAATGTTCAGAACTCGAATAATACCCTTCACACTTGTCGACCCAGGGAGGTGTTCAGTTGACTCCAGCACTGCTTTCTGGACCTGAAGTTGTTCCATAAGCTCTTCTTTTGAAGAGGGCAAGTCAAAGAGTGGAGATAAAACATATTCCTCTGCGTGGAAGACATCCCTACTTAGGTCAAAATCAGTTGAAACACTTGGTAATTCCCAACAATCAAATTCTTTAATGGACACAAGACTGAATCCAAGGCTGTCAGCAAAGGAAACTCTCCGGGACGCTGAAGTTGGGGTGTCCAGGTACGTGTCTTCAGAAGATCCTGATCCTCGTCTGCTTGGCTGAGGGGAGAAGCCAGGCTGGAAGGTCGCTTTAACCTCTTCATCTTCACACACAGAATCAGACAGATTAGGAACTTCTAAAAAATTATCTTTGCTAATCTGACCAGGTACTTCAGCGGGCTCCATTGGGCTGTCTGATATCAAATAAGAGAAAACTGTACAGCTAGTAGAGGCTGATATTTGAGATACTGAGGCTTAAAATAAGTGTAAGGTTACAGTTGACATTGCAAAAGAAGTCAGCTCTATAAATAGGTCCAATGGCTTGTAAACTATGCTAGCCTGCCTCCAAAGACCTTTTATATGATAGTGTCCATGCTGCTCTGGCTCGGATGTTCCAGATTTAACTCTTAATGTTAAAAAGTTGCATTTGTTTATGAACTCAGTTCGAGACATCAAATAATCATTTTTGTCATTAAGAATATTAAAATTATGGGTAAAATGCTACTTTAATTAGTTGCTATAAAAATTTAAATACATCAGAGACATAAAAGCAGAAATAATGAAGCAGGCAAGATTAGAAAGGGAATGTATGAATGTTTGTAACTTGGAGAGATCTACAACTTGCTAGTAATTAGTTAGCATTTTCTGAGATTTACAGTGTCAAATGTTGATTGTCAGGGGGTCAAATACAGGTACTAAAAATGAGTAAGAAATAAACTAGAAAAAAATTAAAATACTCATATGCCTTAGCCCAGTGAGATAGCTATCTACTAATATGACGGGAGCTTTGCAACAAGTTAATGTCACTGTGTACTCACGCCTAAAAGTTTATTTTTAAAAAGTCTCTAAATACTACTGAAAGGCTGCCATGAAGGAAAGATATAAATAATGCTACAAACAAAGATAGAATCCTTGCAGTCATTACAAAAATTAAAAAGCTAAGTAGAAAAAGAAAAATAAATGTGCACAGGGGTGTGTGTGTGTGTGTGTGTGTGTGTGTGTGTGTGTGTGTGTAGAAAGAGAGAATTCCTGGAAAGTTTCAAAAGAAATTGTAGTGATTTTAGCAACTGAGATACTTTTTGAAATGTTAAACATGATGAGCATGGTACTTTAAAAATATCTACAATTTGAACTTAAGAAAAATATAAAATATAAAGCAAAAGACGTAACTAGATTTTTTTCAAAATCAAGATGCAATGGCACCCTGTCTTTCAAATGACAACTTCATAAATATTGTAACTTATTGTATAACTTTAATTGCATAAATTCTGTGACTGAAAATTTATTCTCCAAAGTTGGAAATGGATGTCATCTAGTACAATAATAAAGTGAAACTATTTAGGTTTTACCTCATCTACATAGCTAGGATGGATATGGGTCATATGAATCTTTTCAGAGTGACAAATGTATGTTATTGCAAATCAGGGGATTAGGAATAACCATTTTTCAAGGTACATAAAGTACATCATTATGTAGTTAAAGGAATTGGCAACAAAACATTTCATAAATGTAAAGCACCCAAATAAGCATGAAAATAATCGAGTAAAGGAAGTAACGATGTAATTCTTTTCACATGTAATTTATCCTTTGAGATGAAGACCCTGGGTCCATATTATGCTTCTGCGGCTTAATATTTCTACAACTTTCAGTAGGTTTCCATAATTTTCTGTTTAATTTTTACAGTGTAGTGTGAGCAATGAAGTATGATGCACAAAAGTAGTCCTAATAGAGACAATCGTGCTTGTCCCTTGTGAAAGGCTGACTTACATATCAATCAATGATACTGTAGACAACCCATATAGGTCATATTAGGAAAATATCTGTAATTTGGTGTATCAATATGTTTTTCAGTGACTATAGTCTGCAAAATTAGCTTTACAAATTATAAAAGGGATGCACATTAGAAAATGGTCCTGTTTACTTGAGTTGAACACTTCCCTTTCGACTGCTCCTCTTCAATGGAGAGTATTCTCTTGACTTGTGGCAGCCACCACCTTTCTTTAGAGTTGGTAAGCTTTACATAGTCGGAGTCAGCTGGCATGTCCCTTTCGTCACCACGTTGCTGACACACAGTGACCTCATCGTCCTAATCTCTTCTTTCTTGTCAACTTTCCATTGCTTTCCTTCTTTTTAAATCACTGTGTTACTCCTCTCTGAGCTCTTGCCATCTTCCTGTGTTCCTCTATTAGTGAGCTGCCCATGGGTGAATGGAGGATCACAGACCAAGTGCTTATGCAGCTTGTAAAACAAGCAAGCAAGCAAAATAACCCACTGGCGCCCTCATTCTCATGGATATTTGTGTAAAGTGAAAAATCAGAATTCATGGTCATTTCCACATAATGGCACAACATCCACTTTCTCACGCCCACAGCTCTCAGTTTCAACAAGTTATGCTGCTCCTCTCCAGCTGCTCAGATGAGCATTTTATCATAAGGAGAGCTTTTGAAAACTAAGCTTCACATTTTTATCTACCTCTGCCTTTGTATTGATAAAGCATTCTCAAGTACCTTTCTTTCACATGAAGAAAAAAAGATCACTTAGGATCCCAGTAGATAGGGTGTAGGTGACACACTCAAATAAAATAATCCCATGAGTCTATTTATAAACTGTAAATAAGGATATGTCACATGGCTAGTGTAACAAACTCAGACCAGTTACATAATAGCTATTCCTATTTCTAAAGGCATAGGAAGGGACATGAGCATAAGAACTTAAAAACATAAAGTGCCCTGGGGTATGTACTAAAGAGACCTGTTCAAGGAACAAAACTAATAACCTTGCTAGCAGCAGTACAAGATCATAAATAATTGGGTTGATTATGTGCTTTGCTAAGGCGTTCTTCAAGGATTACCAGTGGCTGAGAGCATGGAGGCCAATGCTTCATTCAAATCTGTCTCTTGGGGCACAAAGCACGGTGGGAAAGGTTGAAAGCTGAGTAAAATTGAGGAAAATCCTGGAGATGAAACACACACATGTATACTATATACACATATGTGTGTGTGTTTAAAATGTTATACATGTAAAACTTAACATGTTTTATTCTTTATAAATATTCCATATCAGGCAGTGAAATTTTTCCTTGATCATTTACTGTCAGGATGTTTTTTTTTTTTTTTAAAGGGTTAAGAGTTTATGGCCTATAAATTCTGAAACATCAGGAATTACAAATAAGAAAGACTGGATAATTACACAAATGACTGGGAAAAATGATTTTTTCAGATGAGTTGTAGCTTACTTTCCTCTTTTATAGATATTCATCTATGACCATAACCCAAAGTCAAGTGAAATCTATGTCAATGGCTCTTAACTAGAGACCCATAATAAAATTGCTATGAGAGATACTTAAATTAAAAATGGGATGCAAATTTATTTCCACAGACTAAGATTTCCCCAGATGAAGACCTTCTCTGGGGGTCTGGCACACAGATTTGGTTTAGTTGTATGATCAGATGATCTGTTGACCTTAGAGTTGGGGACTTATATTCTACTCAATGAAATAGTTGCAACTATCATTGTTCCTGTAATGGGTGCACTTCTTGCCATGAACCCTATAAAACACTTTGCCAAAAGGCCACGAAAGTACACTAAAAGTATACATTAGCAAATTAGGTGCATTTAGCAATCATTTAGAATTATCGTTCACATAAGGAAAAAATTTGAAGACAATGAAATATTGCATTGTTTAGTAACTGAGCTTAGAGTTGAACAAAGTGCTTGTTTTCAGCCTTTGCTCTTCATAGTCTAACAGACATATACTATCTTGTTTTAGAATTCATAATTAACAAATTAACCAGTCTTTGAGGATTGTCATTAAAATCCATTTATTTTTAATAATTAACTTTTGTGAACCTTCTCTTGTTCCCATTTGATGGAAGATCTCTGGGGTGTCCAGATAATTTTTCTTTAGGACAGAGTCTGTCAGCCCTTTTGACCTGTGTGTGCTCTAGCGGGATATAACATTTCAGGCTATCCTTTCCCGTCCTCAGAGACTTCTGTTTGTGAATGACAGAATGACTGTACAAAGAATCACAATCTCTTTAGATTTCATTCCAATGCTGTCAAATGATTTTTAACAGACACTATTCCAAACAAAGTTTTAGACACAGATTTATTTGTTCAAAAGTGCCAATTATTGAAAAGCAATCTGCCAATAAATTGTGGACATAGAAGTCAGCAGAAAATAGAAAGTTTATCCTGGATAAAGCTAAAATTTTAAGAGACATGCCTTTCTTCTTGGATAATAGAATGATGTAGCATAGACAAATGATTTGTTGTAGTAAAGAGCTTTGTCATCAAAAGCAGCATCTCAATTCTTTTCATTTATGTGGTTAAAGCTAGTGCAATGCTCAGCTATTGAGATCTTATTTTATGTTGGTTGTACATTCTGATCTACAATCAGTGGGCCATTTAATAAAAGCATGTGAACATAGAGCACTGAGTGTACTTAGCAAGAAATTATTGGTTAAATCTTTCATTTAGCATATAAAAAACTAAAATCTCAGAATTATTTTCTTAGAGGGCAATCAGCATTATCTCTAAATCAAAAATAAAACTACCTAAAGGCAGATATTACTGATAATGTATTACCAAATTATATCTAGACCAATACAATGTTCATGGCATGACATATTTAAATGTTTAGAAGTATAGCAAAGTATTAGGATTAAATACGACAAATTCTTAGAGTTATATTTATGAGAAGTAATATGATTTTGGAAATCATTTAGGTGGTTTGAAAAACTCCAAATATTTATTTACAGTCTCAAAACTAGAAAATCAAAGTAGATGTGAGCCATTTATCAAGAAAGATGTTACTAGAAGAGATCTCATGGGTGGGCAGGGGAGCTGGTGGAGAGGGGAAGAAGAGGGATAAAGTTGGGAGGTGAAAGGAGAGAGTATTCAAAGAGATGGCTGGAAGGGGGTACACATTTCAGGGTCTGGTAGAAATTTGGTGCAAGGGAAACTCCCAGGAATCTACAAGGATGACCCCAGCTAAGATTCTTAGCAATGGTAGATGAGTAGCTTGGACTGGCCATCTCCTATGACCCAGAGGGACTTTTAGTTGAGGGATTGGGACATTGGCCTAGCCACACAACCATTAACCTACAATCTGTCCTGCCTATGGGATATGTGGTGGTTGGGGTGGGGTGGTAAGGATGGTGTGGAGATTGTGGGAGTGGCCAACC